GGCGGGCCAGTCGGCCGGCACGGTGGGGCAGGGAGGTGGACGCGGGCCGGGGTCACTCGGGTCAATAGCCCGAAGCTATGTCTCGGCCAGAAGCCGACCCAGACAGTCTGGCGCGACCCGACCAGGCCGTTCTAAAGCACAGGGACTGGGAATGAATTAGCCATTTTCAGGATTGTTACAGGTTGGTGTCAAGGTTGGTGTCAAGGTCACGTGAAACTCAGGTTAGGTCATTGAACTTCGGTGACCTTGATTCACTTTTCGAGTTTTACACGTGTCTAGAACAGTTTTTGGAGCTCATTTAGAATTTAGCATCCATTTGAACATTTAAGAAGCAGTTTTGGTGCCATTGTAACATGTTGCGGAGCTGTGAGTGGCAGTTGACACCAACTATAGATACCCGGCAAGAACCTACTGGTTGACCTGACCTGACCTGACCCGACCTGGCCTAAATGCGTGAAGACATCATGTTTGATCAAACCTTAAATGATATTTGTGATAAGCACCCCGAAAAAACCTAGCAGCCACACTTTACGACGTTCTAACAGTTTTCATTGTTCCGATTTTTGGGTCATTGACCTGACCTGGAAGGTCAACTTATGATCTAGGACCTTAAAAATAGACATTTTTTGTTTCCTCTCGTCACCAACAACACGCTCGTTTTGTCCGCGAAGCTCTAAGTCCATCAGAGGCCAAACGGCAAGGGGTATCCAACGAACCCCCCCCCCTCCCCTATACGTTCGTGGCTGGCTAAACAACAATACGGGCGAGGGTTAACTCAGTCTATGGGCCACGTAGCAACACACGGTAAGCGACATTTGAAACAACGTTCAAAATCAAGACGAAAATAATTCGATCAGTTTATAGGTCAGGTTAACGGTTAGGTCACCAGATGTCAACAAAGGTGAAGTGGTGCATATTTAAACATTTTCTGAAACACCGGCGCATAACTCAAATGAACCAATATTGATGCAGTGCCGTAGAAAAGCGCGTTCGATAGACCTTTAAACACTTTTGACTCAAGCAAAGAACGAACAAGTTCAAGGTCATGACCTGTCCGGAAAGGTCATGTTGCGCATCAGTCAATGCGCATCGTCGACCTAAGCACATCGAAGATGTTTTCATCGCTCTAATCAAAGGCAAAAACCGCCGGGGACCTTCCATGACCTGCGATCAGTTGATCTAGTGATCTCGCTTGAGACCTTGTAGGGATTTTAACCATTTTAAGGATTTTAGTCGGGTACATGTCCTTCTTTTGTGTGATATATTGCAGGAATTATGTTGGGTACTTGTATGACGTGGATAACTGAAAACCCACCCGATGGATGTTTTCCGAAATACATGATTATGATTATGATTATGATTATGATTATGCGATGACCTCGGGGACATAAGTAAGGTTCCCATGTGCTATTGTCTTATTCAGTGTGTCAAGTTTACTGGTGTCATGATATTTGAGAGTGTTTAGAATACCGTTTGTCTTGTAATACGTATTTCAATTTTCTCCAACTGACCAAAAATAGAGAGGTCGCAGATTGTCCTGAACTTAGCTCAGCGATATCAAAATTACGAAATTAACATTTAATGCACATCGCTCTTATCAATCGCTCAAAGTTTCAAGGCGATCGTTCAGTCAATGTGGCTATGACGAGCATTTTATTTTTTTTTCTGAGGCGAGGTCACTTTAGGTGACCTTCCTGGTGACCTGACCTTGAGAGGCATGGGCTTGAAACTTTCACAGCATGTGCGCGAAACCTGCATTAAGAGGTGTGCCGAAAACGGTTTTGCTCTGCGCTGCCGTTTTTTTTTTTTTTTTTTACTTAATATCTGCGAAAAACGCAGGATACGTCCAACCCCCCAACCCCCTTTCCCCAGCGCTGGTAAGATATCTTATAATCTATATCCTTTTGAAAGACCTTTACCATAGGTCTTTCGAAAGCGCTATACTTAAGGAAAAGAATTTGAGCACCCTTAACTTTTCACATGGCACGTGCCACGACAGACGCCTTTAGATTTATAAATATACAGGGCTGCGGAGTCGGAGTGGGAGTCGAAGCCGAAGTCGGAGTCGGTTGGAGTCGACAGCTGTGACCGGAGTCGCAGTCGGAGTCGGAGTCGATTTTGGAAACCGAGACCGCGGAGTCGGAGTCACCGAAAATCTGCCGCCTCCTCGGCTCTGCCAGGTCTGCAGAGCCGGAGTCAGAGTCAGTCCTAAAAAATTCATCGACTCCGCAGCCCTGTCAATAGAAGTTAATTACGGCCTAGAAGGGATATTAGGCTGCCCAGCAAAAAAAAAAGAGAAAAAAACAGACCGCAGGTCAATCAGCCACTTTTATATAAACCTCTCAAAATCGTTACAGGTCGGGCCGCTCATACTAAGATTTTTTTCCGTTTTAGTGAAAATACTTTGCTTTGCCCGTTAGCTCATAATCCGCAGACACCACCTCAAAAACACCAACCGCTGGCCGTACCGCCGGCGCCCCACACACACCCTGTCGACCCCGAGGGCACGCCGTGACCCGTCTCGGGTCGACTGGGGTAGGGGATGGGGAGAGGTCCGAAGTCCAGCTGTGGTCCGCAGCCCAGGTGACCATCATTGTGCCCCGGCGGCCAGTTTCTGTGAACTTTGACCTACCGCTGGATATCCGAGGGCTCCCCTCCCCTATCAGCCGTAGTGAATAGCCTCTACCCAGGCAGTGCGAGCTATCACAACAAACGTGCGTATCTGGGCAGCGTGCGTAAAACTCCAACCTCCCCTCGCCAGACTCAATTTGGACTTTCCCATTGGAAGTGGCGCAGTCAGGCTCAATCTGATTCGGGGCAGAGCAAATAGCTGAAAATTAACATTTTCCCTGATATCTGGAAATATGCAGAGCTTTCAAACGTTCCACTTTTAGGACGGGTGCAAAAAGTTGTTGTGGACATTTCCAGAGTATCATTATGCATCTCCGTCGCTTAAAGTAAGAACGTAGGTCGATATTGCTGTGTGTAACGTATACCTACCACGCAGTGAGCAGAGGGCTGTACTTCGGTTTTACAGCTTTAATTAACTCCGTGGGTATTTCCATTTTTGGCGTAGACCTCCGCTGACTGACACTGGTTAAGACTTTAGGCAATGCCGAGCTGCTCATCTGACAAACCTCTGTCATCTGAGGTCATAGCTTTGTCAGTTCAAGGTCAAAACCTGTGCAGCTGAGGTCTAACCTCTGTCAATTCAAGGTCAGACTGTTAGGGTCAGATATCCGTCACTTGAAGTTATATCTTCGATCAAGGTCAGACAACCGTCAGCTGAGGTCATCCCTCTGGCAGCTGGGGTTATCTCTCTGACAGCTGAGGTCATCCCTCTGACAGCTGAGGTCAATTGTTCGTCAAGATCAGAGCTCATCCCTCCATCCTCTGAGTTTATACGTCCGTCACCTGGGTATATGTAATTCATAACACCTTCGTCAGCTGAAGTTATCTGACAGCTGAGGCCATCCCTCTGATGGCTGAGGTCATACCGCAGTCAGTTCAAGGTCCGAGTCTGTCCTCTGAGCTCAGACGTCCGTCAGCTGAGGTCAGGACAGACCACTGCTCGGGTGACCTGACCTGTGTGCTGGCGTGGCTCTCTGTTCGGTGTTATGTGGGTCACCGGGTCGGTGCGGCCGCTGAAGTCGGGCGGGCCCGAGTTCATCTCGGATCGATCGACCGAGCTCCCACGTCTGCCGGGCCGCGGCGGCGGGACGGCCATGCAGGGCCCGACCGAGACCTGCCGCGGCGGCGGACGGGTGAGTCGACTGCAAGACCTGCCGCCTCCATATACGGCCCGAGTCGGCTGAGACCTCCATACATGGACTGAGTCGATTGAGACAATCCACACACGGCGCGAGTCGACTGACACCTGCCACACCCGTATAAAGCCCGAGTAGGCTGAGGCCCGGGACCTGCCGCCTCCATACACAGGCTGAGTCGAGTGAGATATCTGCCGCCTCCATACACGACCTGAGAGCTGCCGCCATCAGCCCCCAGCGTCGATAGAGACCCGATCGAGCTGGCTTAGGCCCTCTTTTTAGGACTCTCGATCAACTGTTATGATTTATTCTAAATCCTATTGCTTTTATTTGTCGCTTGCTCAGATTGATGTTGTATTTTTAACGTATGCTCTTAAATAAATTTAGACGGTCCCAGAAATGAAAGCGTTGTCGCTCATCGTACTTACATAAAACAAAATGTTTACTGGCGGATAGTCAGGGATGTAAATATTATTTATTTATTTGTTTAATGACAAGCAACTTAAACCATCACAGTGGTGTTATCTTGTCCAAACATTGCGACATGAGCGGGCTCGGTTTGACGTATTTGAGTGGGTCGGGATTTATTTGGTGTTGCAAGTGCACTGCAATTCAGGCAATTGCCCCTTATTGCGCAAACCGATTGTTCGAATCGCTCGACATCGATTTCTTGCATTGCAACGCCGCATCTCCGAGCCATATTGACCAAAGTGAGCACGTAAAGACAGCAATAGCTATACCACGGAGCCATCATGTAGCTTGGTATTTTTAGCGATTTCCCCATACGTGGTGCACTGTATGCGATTGAATGGATAATTATAAGAATACCATTATCACAAGAACCATATCATCAAGATACAATATTGTCAGTGTTGAAGTAATGCTGGTATCAACGAACTTTTCAGGAACACGGGTTGGTATCTATCCGCCTTCCGCCTTCTGCTGATGTTTTGTGTAGTCCCATCCTCTGCTGACTGCTAACTTCTGATGTGCCACCCTCCGCTACATAATGTTGCCCAATGTATCACCGACGCCATCTGCACTCTGCTGACTGCTGATGTTGTCCCAGTCCAGCCCTCTGTTCATGTCCTGCAATCGAAGTGTATATATGGGCGTGTTTTGTTCCAAATTTTAGTGAATTTTACTGATTTTACGTGACCCTGGGCAGGAGTTAGGCACAATATTACATCGTAAACATGCCACAGGTTAACACGACTGCGTCTGTTCCTGCAGAGAACTGGTTGAAGGATCCCAACAGCAGTATGGGAGACTACACGCTGTGCGGAAACTCGTCGGGTGCAAGGTGAGGGACCGCTTAGCGCTGCGGGCAGTCGCAGAGGGCAGTCGCGGCGGCTCAGATATACGGCCTTGCTCGGAACAGTAAGGCTGTCTGACTGCTCACCGCAGGCAGATGTCGATTGTGAGACGTGTGGCCAAGCTGTGCTGTTTTTGGTGAGAAGTGTCATCACGCTGTGCTGTTTTTGGTGAGAAGTGTCGTCGCGCTGTGCTGTTTTTGGTCACGCTGCGCTGTTTGTGCTGATCCGAGCTGCTCTTTGTAAGTGGGAGTCTGGATACTTCGTCCTCTCCGTGGCCGAGTGGATAAAAGCGCCGGAATTCGACGCTTAGCCGGAAGTGAGAGCCCGGTTCAAGCCCCGGTGCGGGCGGCCACATTTAGCTCCTACGTGTAATGGCGTGCGTGTCTGTGGCAGGGGCCGCACAGAAGCCAGGTGACGTGAGTGAGCGGAGGGGACCGTGTCCAGTCGTGAGGGCACGTTAACCCTATTAGTGGCAGGCTCCTGGCTACCCCATATTAGTGGCAGGGGGGGGGGGCTGTTTACGACCCCCCCTTGATATCTCGAGATCTAACCGGCCGATTTTCAAAATTCAAACGGCATTCGATTTGGCTCAACGAGATCTACATTTCTAAAAAAAATAAAATTAAAAAATGTCAATAGGGGGGTAGAGGGGGGTAAAAACGGGCAAATTGCAGATACATTTTAGACTGTTTATCACGGCCAGGTTTCTGAACCAATCTTAACGCAACTTTTGCCGATCGATAGAGAATGAACCAGGAATTCACATGGATCCTAAAAATATGCATTTTCAAAAATCATAGGCGGATACAGATCATTGAGATTGGGGGTACACAAAAAGTATAGTAAATAAGGTTTTTGTTGGTACTGTTTCTAAAAAGGGTGGCAATGGTCTTGTTATGTTACAATTTTCTTATGAGAGAGCGACTAAAATTGTATTGGTCATGCATAGGCGGTGTCAGGGCACCTATGTTGGGAGGTAAAAAATAACCCCCCTTTTTGGACGCCTGGATCCGCCTATTATAGCAAAAACGTGTCAAAAGAGGATGCAAAATAACTTTGTATATGTTATCACATGATACCTTTCATTCACTGTTCGTAAAACTGGTGCAGCATCGTGATCTTCGCCCAAATGACTCGCTTCACGAATAGGACCCCCAATTCCCAGTGCTCTGGAGCCGCCCCTGGTAAAGTTATGAACTTGAAATTTTCAGGGAATGTGCCCAATTTAGTTTTAGGAAAAGTCAGAAAATTTCAGCATCGTAGCTTCAGCGGTTTCGGAGATATTCCCGAAAAACCTGAGGGGTGGATAAAAACAACCCCCCCTGCCACTAATAGGGTTAAACGTTCGGACAAAATTCTGCCATACAACTGGAATTGCGCGATCGGGTGGTGGGGTCAGGGTCAGCACAACAAGCTATGCTTAGTGCGGACTCTGATTCCTCAAATCCGCCCATTCAGCCATTCGGACTAAATTTATAAAAAAAAGATACTAGGGTGACCATCTCTGCGATGCTGAAGGCCCTCGCTCTGTGTTTCAGTAAATGTCCTGCTGGCTACACGTGTATGGAAGGGTTTGGTCCCAACCCCAACTATGGCTACACGACGTTCGACACGTTCGGATACGCCATGCTAGCCTCGTTTCGACTGCTGACTCAGGACTACTGGGAGAACCTCTACCAGCTGGTCAGTATTTGCAGCGAAGGTGGAACGCTCGAACAGCTGCTTAGCTAAGATTGCACGGTATTGTGTGTAGTCGTTCATTGGCTGGTTGACACCCGAATAGATTAGTAGAAGCAGCAGCAGCAGATACATCAGCTATCTACGATGACTATCACCTTCCTCTAGTCAGTCCGAATAATGGCCGAGAATGCACATTACAGAGTTATTGAGCTTCGATCTGTTGTCGGTTTCAATGCAGGCTCCACCTTACAAATGCTGTCCACGCAAGCTCCGATTAACGTCATCTGTCATCACACCTTTCATTGTGTCTCTCGGTATGTGATTGGCTGCACCGTCTGTTTCTGCAGGTTTTAAGGACGGCGGACCTCACACAATGACCCGATACCGTCTGTTTCTGTAGGTTCTGAGGACGGCGGGCCCCATGCACCTGGTGTTCTTCATCGTCGTCATCTTCATGAACTCGTACTACTTGCTGAACTTGATCCTGGCCATCGTCGCCATGTCGTACGACCAGTTGGAGAGGAGGGCGGCCGACGAGCGTGCTGCCGAGGAGGCAGCCATGGCCGAGCGCGAGAGGCTCGAGGTAACGGCACGACACAGGGCACAGGGGTCAGGTCAGGGGTCAGCAGTGGCACGCGAATGTCAGCCCGGACATGTAGGCATCATTCAAACATGCTATTGTGTGTTTGTGTTGTTCAGAGCTAGCGAGTGGTCAAATCGAATTCCGGTAATTATATGAGGTAATTTTAGAATCATTTTAGACATTTGCCTTTTGCTCGACAATCTGGGAGTCAGGTGCTCACTGCTCAGTCATTCACAGTAGATCAATTAAAATAATGTTGCATTTTGTGTGACAATCATATGCCGTGCTTCCGGAGACCTTAATTGATAAAGACTCACCCTCTGCTAAGTACCGCTGTCATCCGAATCACCCCACACCTGACCCGGCACTGCGTCTGTCCTACCGGCCGAACCGTGACCCTCTCTCGCCACCTGCCGCTGTCGCCTCCGCAGGACGCCAAGGCTGAGCGCCTGGAGAACCGGGCGGCGCGCGGCAAAGGCGACGGTGAGAGCGTGGGTCGCTCGCCATCACAGCACTCGTGCCGCAGCGACGAGCTTTTCGTCGGCCAGGAGAAGGAGCGAGCCAACACGCGCGAGCGCATGAGCATCAAGTCCGAGCTGGGCATCACGGACGCGCTAGGCGACCAGAAGCCACGCGCCAACGGCAAAATCGCGCGCAAGGTGAGAGCCTCTGAGACGACCGGCCGGTGGCGAGGCTGAGTTTGGCTTTGCTGGGGGGCTGGGAATGTGGGAATAGGAATGGTGTGTCGATTTTGTTCTTGCGGAGTTCACAAGATCACCGAGTGTGGTTGCTTTACTTCACACTCTGCTTAAACGGAAAAGTTAGAGTGTGAGATTACGGAAGTTGGATACCTGCTCAATAGCATGGGATCTTTGCTCTACTATGATAACTTGCATTAAAAAGCATATGTAGTTGTGAAGCTATTGGGATAAAGACAGACTAATAGATTATAGACAGCATGATAAAAAGTTCATGAATCCCTTAAGCAATCTCTAGAAAGTGTTTACAGTATTTATTTCTATTTTTTGTCTCAGTTAAAAAGCATAACTGATTTGCGTTATGGTTTGTCTTCATGGTTCTTAACATTTTCTTTCATGCTATGTTCGTAAATAATTATCCATTGTACTTAACGAAAATTGCTTTAAATGCTGTTTTAATGTCTCAACTTCGTTTCTATAAAATGTTTATGTATTTTAATGTTTTGCACGCATCTGCAATCTAAAAATAAAATTAAAATGCATTTTTTTAAATAAGACTACCAAAAGTTCCTTTTTGTTGTAAGCGTGAGTGTATTTTCGGCAAGCATTCTGGCTTGCAATTTGTTAACACCACCATTCAGCACTCTCTTTTATTATTACGTTTAGTTTATTCGAGCAATATTGGGATATTTTTGGAAGACAATGAATCGCCATGCATCGTCACTTACATATTGTCTCTTCACTAGGACAAATAGCACTTACCTACTTGAGAAAGGCTGAGAAAATATAATGTTATTCCTCTAAAGAGACATTTTTATTTTACCGTTGAGCGAGATAATCTGAAACATTTCTTGTCATCAGAACGGGGGTAATATCCACATGTTATATTTGCTATTCTTGTCAAAAACATTTATTTATTATAATCGGCTAATGACTACAATTTTTAGACGTAAGTTGCTAGAAGATGCAAGGATATGTAACAGCAATACAAATTATTAGAGATAGACTGCAATCAACTTCAACTGCACTCGGTACCTAACTATTGCATTCTTAAGATTTGTTCAACACCGACCGGAAGGTTTCATTCGGTCTTCCTCATAATACCCATAAAATATTTACCAGTATTTGAGCTAATTTTGTTCAGCTTAGCAACACTTCATGATAATATTTTCTATAACGGAAGACATGGAGGCCGCTTTCGTTACTGGTACTGCCATGTGAACTTTTCCTTGCAGCACAAGCCACGCGGCTGAACTAAGTAACGTGTTAAATGGCTCAGAGGACAGGTATGTGGCACGCGTTTGGCTGTGTCGACCGTAGGCGCTCGACTCGAGTACCATAGTTGGCATACCTAGAGAGTGAGAGAGAGAGAGAGAGAGAGAGAGAGACCAGATCAGAGCAGGTAGCCGGCGTGCGCCCGCTCCGCCGGCAGTAGAAACCTGTCGCCCCGACGCAGGAGCTCTTGTGCCTCCTCTTTCGTCGACGTAGTTCAGATATAGGAGCGGTGTCAATGGCTTAGGGCTTCGAGAGAAAGACAGAAGCCAGTTTAGCTGAATTGCTGACTAGTGACGCTAGAACGGTGGATAACCTGAGCTCTTTTCAGGTAGATAACGACCCTTCTATTTCAGCCATGTTTTCTGGTGCCACTTCGGTATGCGCTAATGTAATGTTGGTCGGTGTGTAGTTACTAGAGCAGTGTAGATCAGGGTCACCTCTAGCCTTTCTCTTAGCCAATCGCCTGGTGCCAGCTCTCAAAGTGGTGATGGTGAACCCTTTAGAACTGAAAACTATCTATCTATCCGTAGACGCACGGACTGCATGACCTCTACCAGCTTGAACATCTCCTCGTGGTGGGGCTTAGCACCGCGCCTTTTTCATAGACAAAGTGAAGAAAACAACCTTTGCCACCGAGCGCCTTGTAATAAAAATCTGCTCTTTATGACGTAGAAAAGGATACTGAGGTGTAGCCTCTTTTGCTTTCTGTTGTACATATTAGGTACTGATGTTCCATTATGACATCCGTCCTGTATCTTATCAGACAAACATTACCATGTAAACTTGAAAAGTGAAAAAAGGATATATTAAATGGTCCACTGTGTTTTTATTCAACGCTAGAATATTTCCACATGTTTACGGATTTCATTTTCAACGAGATACCTACTAATCGTAGCTTTATGAAATTTAATATTTTTCTTCGTACAGAAGTTAACATTCTTAGGAATGCAGTGCAATATAAATGTGCAATATAAATGTATCTCAGTTGCCCATGAATAAGCAATAAATGCGAAACGTCGGGCTATATATCAATTTTTCAATTTTAACTTTATTCTTAACCCGCGCACCGACGGGGGGGCGGATATCCGCCCCCCCCCCTGAGGTTTTTCGCGGATAGCGGAAAAACCGCGGCGCCAAGTCACTTTTTTGCAACTTTGTCACCGTGCCAGAGCTACAGTAGATGTCGGAGGCCTTTGAAAGTCGCAGGATGTTTTTAGGTCATTAGTAGCTACAATTTGTATATCTCGGAATTTTGATGTCGGTGACCTAAGGTCAGGTCAATTTCGCGACCTCCCCATTATAAGTCAATGGGGGAAAAATCAACTCCCTGTTTTTACCACTAAAACGGGTCGGAATGGCCCCATATACCATACATGACTTCACATACGATCAACCTTCACTACCTTGAGGTCTGTTTTGCTGTTGGGCAGCTGTAAGGTCATGTGACGTCATCAAAGGTCACCAAAGGTTTTTTGCCAATAACTCCTTACAGGAACAAGATACAGCCGCGCGGATCGTCTCATTGTGTTCAGCTCGTCAAGACGCATCGAACGATATACATGATGACCTCGAGGTCACGTGACCTGAGGTCAACCTTTGACCTTGACCTTTCGAGGTCAACATATATATCATTCGATGCGGATTGACGAGAGGATCACGATGATGCCCTTAGTTTGTTCCTATCTTGACTACTTCGAAAGTTATTCGAGAAAAACCCTCTCCATATCTAGCGCCGCCATTTTGACTTTTTCGACCCCTGTGACGTCATCTTTGACCTGACCTGAAAATGACCTTAGTAAAAATTGTAGACCATGTCCGTGCGTATCCGATGCCGTTTACCGCTTGTCGCTATCTTGCTTCGTTCTCGAGATCTCAGGGGGGGCGGTCATCCGCCCCCCCCCCGTCGGTACTAAGTTGGCGCAGACCCCCGTCGGTGCGCGGGTTAATTTAAAGCAAATGAACATTTAATTTAAAGGCCTTCCTAAACGCTTATCAACAAATGTGGTCAACTTTCTTTTTCTCAAAATGACAAACAATTACCGAGCTAAACCAGCAAACATGCTATCATTACTGCCCATAACAAGCAACACAAGTTTGTCAACAAGTCAACAAGCTATAAAATATACAGCTGGCTTTTTCCCTCTGTTACATTGTACCTACTTTTGACTTCTCTGTCGGTAAATTTACTAGTCGATGGATCACGTAGAAGCATTATAATATTGATATTTTTCAGATCTGATTTTTTCCACTTAAATGGCTAAAACTTCGGGCAGCCAGTCTGTAACATTTTATCAACATTTTCGATTTATTTTCTGACATTTTGTAAGGTGCAGAAAAAGTTGGATGTAATGAAAAACGAGTTTATTACGTGACTTTGGTCTTTTACGCGAAATTGAACGTATATATTATTACTTTAAAATCACTCAATTGATTTAAGTGACCATTTTAGCTTCAATGTTAAGGGTTTAGCGTTGACTCTTCACGTCGCATTTCAAATGTTTTAATGTTTTCGGCTCTAAATATATCCCAAGTAAATAGCTGATGTTGAACTAGATATCATCTGTTGACATAAATGACTTACTTAGGACCTCTGACAACGATAATACTTCTGCGCTCCACTTCGGTCTAGTGCGGGAAGGTCAGCACCTCTCCCGTTTCAGTGCCGTGTGATGTTCTATAGCTCATCCGTCACAGTCCGTGCGTCTACATACAGACTGAACTACGAGTGCGACAAAATTATCGAGTCGCATTCATTCCCAGTTCGATTTTTCGCTTCTCCTAACAACGGATTCAACGCGAATTAGCGTTATGGTAGGCCATGTTATCTATGGCGTAATCTAGTTTAATCATTACGGATGCATAGCAAAGAGCTACAGCATACTGGCTTGCATGAGTCTATAAAGTGTTCGGAGAACAAATATGACATTACTGGTGCGTGCAAAATTTTCTGTGCGCTCTTCATGTTGGTATCATATACATATGCGACTTCGAATCTTTTTATGATCGTAATGGTCCAATATAACATAAAACACACATATAGGTACTACACAGATGACATGATAAAATATGTAATACATGACACTCATTTGTTAATGACATACCCATCTAAAGAAAATGTCTGCACACTTCGCCATACAATGCCATACTGATCTATCGTTTATGAGTATGTGTCGTGCTGGTGTCAACTGTAAATGCAATGCTTTTAAACTTCCTTTTCATAAATTCATCAACCGTAAACCTTTGAACTTCATATGCAATTTTTACATGATGCATGCAAATTTAATTTAGCATATAGTCATTGCCTATTACAAAAGTGAGTCAATTCAAAATTAATTATCGAATGTGTGTATTTGTTTTGCAGTGCCGATGTTAAAGTCAGCTCGCCTGGTTAATGCTTGTGTTTCTAAACGTTGCTGTGGTCTCTGGGGATCTATCATAGCATTTCCGTGTGCTCCATATGCGTATGTGCGCGTTTGAGTGTCCCTATGCGTCTGTGCGTGTGCGCGCCCCGTGCCGTGTGCCCTTCACCACAGACGGACAGCGCTGCAGCCGCTCTCACGTGCCGCGCGCAGTACGCACCCACGCGCCGCCGCGCAGCGCGGCGCGCCGTCCCGGTGTCGCCCGCTGCCGCACCCAGCGCCGCCTGTGTCTCTCTGCCGCTCTGTGTCCCACTCACTCGCTCACCAACTCACCCGCTCACCCACTCACCCACTCACCCGCCCCGCGCGGCCGCCGTGACCGGGCGCGTCTCCACGCTGAGCTGAGAGCACTCCGCGCCTCCGCGCCGCCTCTCGTGTGTGTGCTGCGCCGGCGCGGCCGTCACCGGCGCCGCCGCCGCCACTGTTGCAGGGGAGTCTGAGCCTGCCCGGCTCCCCGTTCAACCTGCGGCGCGGCTCGCGCGGCAGTCACCAGCTCACCTGGCGCGCCGCCAACGGCCGCAAGATGGGCGACCGAAAGCCGCTCGTGCTGTCCACCTACATGGACGCGCAGGAGCACCTGCCGTACGCGGACGACTCGGCGGCCGTGACGCCCATGTCCGAGGAGAATGGCACGATGGTGCTGCCCGTGTACCAGCAGCAGCCGTCCAGCCTGCTGGCCGGCTCGCGGCACGGCTCCTACACGTCGCACGGCTCGCGGCGCTCCTACAACTCGCACGGCGACCTGCTCAATGGAAGAGGCCTTACCAAGGAGTCGCAGCTGCGCTCGCGGCGCGCGCCGCCCGCCGACGCCGCCGAGATGCAGCCCGACTGCGTGAGTACGGCCGCCGAGGCGCCGCGCATGCCCAGCTCAGTCGTAGACGTGCATGGGTCCGGGCGGCGCGGCTGCTGTCCGCTCACCATCTCTCCCGACCGACTGTCATGCGAGCTGTTTCGTCTCTTTCTCTCTGTATCTCTCTTTTACTTCTGTCTTGCCACGGCTGTCGCGACTGACGGCGCGCTAGCTTGGCCCGCCCGAGCCTGGCTAGTCCCTCCCGCAGGCATGCCCCCGGCTGTTGATAGCTCTACCAGCAGACAGCGCTGGTGGCTGCTACCGCTCCGGTGACCGTGCCGCCGCGGGCTCACCCTGCCGCCCGCCTCTCCCGGACGCCGGCGGACAGCCGCTGGCCGCAGCGCCGGCGTCCGCCTCCTGCCGCCCTCCTGTCCCGCCTCCCGGCACCGGCTGCTGACCGAGCGCACCGCCTCCTTCTCCAAGGTGCGCGCCGGCAGCGGGGCCATCGGCGCCGCCGCCCACGGTAGCGATGAGGTGATAGACAACATTATCCGAGAGGTGTTCGGCCATGAGCTGCAGTTTCAGTATGCCGATGCCGAGCCGGCGCGGGTGAGTATGGCTGCGGCAGCCGGCCGCGCCGCCGCCGGCCGCGCCCACCTGCCGACCTACACCTGTGTGCAGTGCCGCACCCGCCCGCTTGGCGGCCGCACCGACCGACCGCCGGCTTGTTGGCCGCTTCGCCTGGCCTCTGCAGGGCGCTGTGTGTGCCCCCACACGACATACTCATGCGCCGCCTCTGTCTAGCTCCCCTCTCCGCCTCTCTCTGCCGTCCTGACGCCGCGCCGGGTGAGGCGGTGGCCGAGCGGTGACGGGAGCCCTCTGCCGCAGACCTCTGACCCGGGCCCGCTGCGGCCGCCGGCGCCGCCGCCGCCCCGCCGCAGTCGCTTGGCAGCAGTAAGTACGGCGCACGCTATCGACCGAGGCAGTGCCGCCCGAGCACCAGTGTCCGCCGGCGCAGTGTGAGGCTGCAGCGGCCCGCCTCTCTGTGGCCCGTGTACCTGTGGCCGCGCCCAGCTGACCTGAGAAAGCAGACCGGTCTGATCGAGCCCGTCCAGCTGACCTCAGACCTGTACCCGGTCCGATCGAGCCCGCCCAGCTCCGTGGCGGCGGCCACCTCGGGCTGCGGCTGATCGGCGTCATCGGACCGTGCCCGAAATAGCACCGCCGCTGGACCGGCGGCGGTAGGCCATCGACCGGCCACCGCCGACCGGCCCACCCCTGCCCCGGGCACCCAAACACCCCTCCATCGGCCGACCGACCCGAGCCCCCGGACACCCAAACGGAAGCACCCCTCCATCGGCCAGCCTCTCCCCCGCGGGCACCCAAACAGCAACACCCTCTCCTGGCCGGCCTCTGCCCCCGGGCTCCCAAACACCCCTTCACGGCAGTCTCCCGCCCCAGGCACCCAAACAGAAGCGCCCCTCCTCGGTCGGCATTTTGCCCCAAGGCACCCAAGCATCCCTGATCCCTCCCCGGCCGACAGGCTAGCTCAACTCAGTATTGTCTAAAAATGGACCGCAACGCATCACTGCCCACTGGCACATCGGTGCTCAACTCAGCTCAGCTGAGACGAAAATCGTCTATCGCCTTACTTATGCTCTATCCGTACATATTTGAATGACTTCGGTTTTCAAAACAGCACTCTGGCAACCAGCTTAAGACACTTCGAAGACAATGGGGTTATGAAACGTTCGCCAACCCAACTCCCAAAGCTATGAAATTATAAAGCTAATATCGTTGGCATACATTCCGGGCGCCGTTTGAAAGGGCTGGTCAGAAAGCCGTTGAGCACTCACATGGTCGACTTACGCCGTTCCAACACACCCATAGCATTGCTGGGAGTGACCAATCATCGGCAGAAGCAGTCACGATTTCGCTTTGCTATCCGCCTACCGCGCTTGTCCACCGTTCCACCCTCAGGAGTCGCTTATCCGAAGGATTGTTTACCTACGTGCATTATGGTCACAGACTGGCTAACTTATGTTTTGCTCGTCGCGTGTGTTGGGAGCACGACCCGTAGCCCTTTGCTTACAGCTCCGGTCGATCTCACTTTACTTGGCTTAGCTTTCAGCGGAAAGCTTTTGGCGCTTGCATGATGGATACTGTGCTTTTCAGCTTTTTTATATTCATCTAGAGTGATGCCGCATGCTATTATAATAGACGCATGCTATGTAATTATGGACGCATGCATCCCGGTCGCTGTCAGAGGCGAGAGATAGTGGATAGTTTTGTTCTGTTATATCTGAGAATAAATTTTAAACTTATGTCATCCCCAGTCGATCGTAGCGACTGGGGATATTGGGATTTGAAAAGCACTTTATGAATATCGTTGATCTTTTTGTATGTGGCTGGCATGATTTCAATTTTCAACCATTTGGTCATTAGATGTAGTCTTAGAATAGTTTTGTAAAGTTGCTTTACCCTGGTTTAAATCATTTCAAAGCACGAATCAGTAGCAGCAGTCGGCGCTCTAAATTTCGTAAAAAAGCAAAAGAAATCAATTTAGCTGGCTGGGAAACGAGGATGCGGGAACTAGGAAGGCGCTTTTTACTACGCTATTTTGGACAACTCGACATGAAGATTGAAGATTCCTACATGCAATATGCAATCAGCTTTCACCATAGCGTGGAACGCTTTTGTTTGATGTCTGGCATGAGGAGGCGTTTCGAATGCTTTATGTGTAATATTTCCTGTTGTTAGTGTGACCATCGGTATGCAATTATTCTAATTGAACTAGAGTAAGTTTGCTTCGAAAATGATATCACAACTTTTGCATGTAGCATACCTATTTAGTTTTGCCTTTTGAAGTAGTTGGATATCAAACATCTTCATTCTACGCGATGTGTAGCAGGGTCAATTCGAATACGCGAATAATCGCAGATCTTGTCTAAAATGATGCACATGTAAATAACGTTAAGCATGCATAAGTCGCCCTTGTGTTCACCGATTCATTAAAAGTTTTCCGACTTCGATCATGTGTTTCATAAATAAGGAATGTCTATTCAACTCAGCGCTCATAATAATACTCGGTTCCTTTCATCTTACTGAACGACTGACTTTGACTGACGTGCTGCGTGGTTTGGTAGTTGTAGCTGCTGGCGTTTGCTCCCTCTCGAGATCCGTGGATAGACGGATGAACTGACGGACTCCCCGTCCTCCCCGTCCGCAGGACACACCTGCCACGGACCTGCAGGCGAGGACGCGGCCCGTTGAGAACCCCAACCCGTTCGTGGAGCCGGTGCAGACGCAGCCGACCGACTCCGTCGATATGAAAGGTGGGTGCAGGCCTCCATCGCTCGGGATCGACGCCGTACTTCAACTTATTCGGCCCAGCCGGCCGAACCCGTTTCTACATATACGACAGGCAGGGGGGGCCGAGCAAATCTCGAAATCCGATTTCATTTGCCTTATGTTATTACGGAGCGAGCGAAGCGAGCGTAGTCTTTCCTTAGATTAACGGAAATTTCTGAGTATGAGCGGCCGGCCGGCCGGCCGTGGTCACGCTTTTGCGAGGCTTATATCTCAGCAACCACTTGACCGATTTACATGCGGTAATTTTTGTAGGGTAGCTTCATTCCTTCTACCAAGTATTGGACTATTCCCGATGCATGCGGGTGACCCCTTATGCACGTGCCACGTGCAAAACGAAGAGGTGTCACTTTTGTAATTGTTGCAATATCTCGGTAACTACTTGGCCGATTGCGCTGAAAGTTGGCATGTAGGTAGGCACCCACTAGGCAATGCATATCCATGTGCCAGAGTTGGGGTGCTGCTGCACGTGCGCACGTGCAGGGGTCGATTCCAGATCTCGAGAACGGCTGGACCGATGGCGCTCAAATTTGGTACATGGTTAGGGACCGGTTAGTAGGGAGCCGTGCAAAAGTCAGTTGGGACCCATTTTGCACGTGCGCACGTGCAGGGTGCCGCTTCCAGATCTCGAGAACGGCTGGGCCGATTGTGCTCAAATTTGGCACATCGCTAGAGACCGGTTAGTAGGGTGCCGTGCACAACTCAGTTGGAGGTACCCCCTCGCAATTTCGCACGTGCAAGGCTCACCCTCTCGCTCGCTCCGTTAGTCGCCCCAAAAGGCGTTATACTGGTCCTGTACGTATCCGTTTCGGGTCCGTATCAAAGCGTCCAAAACCGCAGCACCCAAAGTACGCAACATCCAAAACCGCAGCGTGCAAAGTACGCAACGTCCAAAATACGTGCAAAATCGGGTTTATAGGGGGCATTCACAAAGTCCAAAACGGAAACATCCAAAACCGCAACGTCCAAAAACGCATCATCCAAAAAACGCAACATCCAAGGACGCAACATCCAAAGTACGTAACCTCCAAAACCACAACGTCCAAGACCACGACATCCAAGGCACGCAACATCCAAAACCAACCTAACCTAACCTAACCTAACCTAACCTACTGATTTTTGCCTATCCTTAACCCAACCTAACCTAACCTATCCTAACCTTAGCTAACCTACTGATTTTTGCCTATCCCTAACCTAACCTAACCTAACCTAACCTAACCTACTGATTTTTGCCTACCGAGGATAAGGAAACCCAACCTAACCTAACCTAACCTAACCTAACCTACTGATTTATGCCTACCGGGAATAAGGAAACCTAACCTAACCTAACCTAGCCTAACCTAACCTAACCTAACGGTTTTGGATGTTGCGTACTTTGGATGTTGCGTACTTTGGATGTTGCGTACTTTGGATGATGCGTCCTTGGATGTTGCGTTTTTGGATGATACGTTTTGGATGTTGCGGTTTTGGATGTTTCGGTTTTGGACGTTGTGAATGCTCCCTATATACCCGATTTTGGACGTATTTTGGACGTTGCGTACTTTGGACGCTGCGGTTTTGGATGTTGCGTACCTTGGATGCTGCGGTTTTGGACGCTTTGATGGTCCCCCAACCGTTTCATTATTGCCTGTGATAAACAAATTACAGAATATTGCTGTTAATGTTGGTATCGCTTAACCGCGTTTAATCTTTTTCTAACTTCTAATTTTCATGTGAGACCAGCCACTGATTTATTGAAGAATCTTTGCTAAATCTGTGTCAGGTCTAGTTGAAGAGATTCTTTTTATGTGTCCACTTTCCGTAGCAACTCATTGCCATTTGTTGCTGGCACATAGTATCGTTTAGTCTCCTGTTTTTCCTTTTTCAGAAAGTGACTTCGCTATTTTGCTCTGATTTCAGATTTGATGGTGCTCAACAACATCATAGAGCAGGCCTCCCAAGCGAGGGGCCGCCGGCCCAGCCGACAAGTCTGTGGTACGCACACCTAGGACGTTCGCAACAATGGTGCTCTGTGCAGCTGCATAAGGCAGCTCGTGAGCGCGTCGCTTTCTTCATCTCATAATTGTTTTACATACATGTGTAGAACTTTAGCCATAACAGACACTTAGTGCCAAAGAGCATCGGTAGCCGATAAGCTGGCCGATTTTCAGAGCTCCGACTTTCCCCGTCCGTCTTTATCGCCGTGTTCCAGATCTGGAAGATGACGAGGAGGAGGACATCACATTCAAGGACAGGTGCAAGATGTTCACCACCAAGTTCATCGACATCTTCTGCGTGTGGGACTGCTGCTGGGCCTGGGTGAAGCTGCAGGAACTCATTGGCCTGGTGGTGTTCGACGCCTTCGTCGAGCTGTTCATCACGCTCTGCATCGTCGTGAACACGCTGTTCATGGCGTTGGACCAGTACAACATGTCCGACTCCCTGAGCAACTTCCTCTCGCGAGGCAACTACGTGAGTGGCCGCGGCCTCCGCGCGCAATCAGTGGTGTAATCGCCCCATTGTTTGGGTGAGGGGCCGATGGGCGAGAGTAGCTCATAACTGGCCACAAAGTATACTATATTTATAGGACATATTACGAAATACATTTAATATAACAAGAACAACCCTGCAAGCCAGTGACATGCAATTTCCATTTGTCGATCGTGGATAATTGGAATGTATGCGAAATTATTCACCTCAAATTGAAATATAGTAACAAAGATAGCGTAGCGCTCACCAAACGCTACAGAGCAAACTTCAGCTAAAACCCACGGTCGGTGCCCTTTCAGTTTTTCACGGCCACATTCACCATCGAGGCGACAATGAAGCTGGTGGCCATGAGTCCCAAGTACTACTTCAAGGAGGGCTGGAACGTGTTCGACTTCATCATCGTGTTCCTGTCGCTGGTCGAGCTCGGCCTCTCGGGCATCAAGGGCCTGTCGGTGCTGCGCTCCTTCCGTCTGGTAAGCGGCGAACAGATGATGGACACTGACAGATGATAGGTGGGAAACGTCAACCTTGTGCAACAGAGAGTCGGGTCGGTGATTGTATTCAACTCCTGCTGCTTTATGCCTGGTAGTTGATTAGTACCGATGCAGCTGATTGAATTCCTTAAATAACCGATTGAATACCGATGCGCAACGTGTGCCTCATTGCATCGTCTATGATACGGTGATTTGAGGGTGCTTTGTCTCTCCTCCAGTTGCGAGTGTTCAAGCTGGCCAAGTCGTGGCCCACGCTGAACCTGCTCATCTCCATCATGGGCCAGACGGTGGGCGCCATCGGAAACTTGACCATCGTGCTCTGCATCATCGTCTTCATCTTTGCCGTCATGGGCATGCAGCTGTTCGGCAAAAACTACGTAGGTCAGTAAAAGACCAACGTGACGCACATGCTATCAAGTTTCAGTGTATGAACTCATTTTTAGAGCGTAGGTATATAAAGCACACCAGTTTGCGCGCGCCATAAAAAATAAGGTATTTGCCTTTGCACGGCATTTAATGAATTAGTTCTGATACACTAACCCCTTCCATCATTTGCAGAGAACAAACACCTGTTTCCGAGCGGCGAGGTACCGCGGTGGAACTTCACCGACTTCATGCACAGCATAATGATCGTGTTCAGAGTGTTGTGCGGCGAGTGGATCGAGTCCATGTGGGACTGCCTCAAAGTCAGCGGCTCGCTCTGCGTGCCGTTCTTCCTGGCCACGGTCGTTATAGCCAACTTGGTGGTAAGTAGCCGGCCGACACTAGGTGAGTGAAGACCGACACTAGGGCACTGAAGGGCGTAAGATTGGTAATTACACTGCCGGCGGTGAACTCAAGAAAGAGCTGCTTTCAAAGTCGATAAACCACCATAAATATCATAATTTGCAGAACCTGTCAGCAATGGATGGTCAAGTCTACCTACACTTTAGACAACAAGCAAGCAAATCTGTTCCTGCCAAAAACATAAGTGGTTCCCGGCAGCTGTTTAGCTACTCGTAGTTAAGTTCCAATTGCTTAGTTAATCGCAGCTGCCAAGATATGACTATTGACTAAGCATTATAAAACATGGCCCACGTCACCTTTGAATGCGGGCTGGCGCGGTTTCGTTGCCCTCTTTTATGTTTGTCCTTTGCCTGCTGTGTGTGTGCCGTTCCACTGTGGCTTGTATCGGCCCAGTCCCGCAGCATCCCAATGTCCCATTGTCCCACCCGGCACGGTCCTGCAACGTCCCACTGTCCCACCCGGCCCAGTCCCGCAGTGTCCCACTGTCCCAAACTGTCCCACCCGGCGCTGTCCCACTGCCCCACCCACTCCGAACCCGCGGTGTCCCACCCGGCCCGCTCCCGCCGCTAGTCCAGCCCACCCACGCGGCTCTGTCGGCTGTCGCCAGGTACTCAGTCTCTTCTTAGCGCTGCTCCTGAGCAGTTTCGGCGCCTCCAACCTCTCAGCGGCTCCCACCAGCTCCAGCGACACCAACAAACTGGCAGAGGCCTTCGACCGCATCGGACGCTTCAAACGCTGGGTCAAAAACTCCATCCTGAACGGGCTCAAGGCGCTCCGGGCCAAGCTGACCAATCAGATCTCGGACCAGTCACGTGGTGAGTCGTGGGGCCAATCAGATCTCAGGCTTTTGTGACGGTAGCAGTGATTTCGATAGTTACCGTGGCTGTAAGTTGTAACTGTGTGGCAATATGGTATAGCCACGCTTTTGTGATGCTAATTGTGACTATGTGACGGCAGTTCTCAGGGTAATTGTGGCTGTATTACTGTAGCCGTAACCATAGCACTCTGAAGGACTGAAGGTAGCCGTGACCGTGTGTGCCGCCCGTTTCAGACGCGCGAGCTCACGGCGACGGTGAGGAGAGCGGTGCCGCTGGTAAGACCCTGGTCGAAATGGCGCCTGGAAGAGAGCTCGGCAACGGTAAGTTAGGTCAGTGTCCGCTGCAGCCGAGCCCGCCCCCGCGCCGCCTTCTTCGTGTGTGCGCGCGCTTGGCTGACGGGTGCCGGGGGCGGCGGCGGCGGTGGCGCACTGGCTGGTGGGCGGAGCTTCGCCGCTGCTGGTCCCGCCCCCGTCCCGCCCCCGTTCCGCCCCGTCTTCACCTGCCCCGCCCGCCCCTGCCCCGCCTCCCGTCCGGCCCGTCCGGGCCCTCCATGGCGACTCAAAGTCATGCTGGAAATCATTGAGACGAAGTGTAATGTCGGTCTGAAGCGATCGACATGGCACGGCATTGCGATGCAATGGCGCCATTGGAAAAGGAACTTTGGATGAATCTGGTTTGACTTCGGCAGTTTTCCTTTGCATTTTTCACTATTGTCTCCGGTGCAGATATTGTAATTTTGAATATCGTTTCTTTGTGTTTCATCAAATTCCCAGTCTCTCATTCTAGCCTCAGCAGCATGGGCTATTAAAACGGCTTGAACATAGAGCACGCTAGAAACGAACTGACGTCGGACAAGGAATGAAGGTGCATGAGGCCGAAGGTTTGCTTCAAACTTGTTGAAACTAAGTCATTTTTAGCACTGCATGCATATAACTAAGGGCAACAGTTATCTTCAAAAAGTCTTTTTTAAGACATCTATCTTCCCCTCACGTCCGTGCCCAGATTATTGCAACGTCTTGCCTATAACCAATTTAAATGAAGTTCCCTGTCGCAGTAAATTCACAAGGTCCCCATACCTTAGATAGCGTGAGTAAGCATGTTCAATAAAAAAGGCTTTGGCTGCAGACATGCCTGTTGTCACAATTGACAATTGCATTTAATGTCCACTCGTTCAACTTGATATAAGTGCAGTGTGAACAATTAAAAGATCAAGGTCATTAATATCAACATCTTAACACGTTAAACAATTCTACATTGCTATACCTAAAGTGACTAAGTTCAGTTACCATTTTGAAAATAAAATAAAGTACCAAACGGAGAGTCACACAATGCATTGCGTTTTGCATAATATATCGCCTTTTAATGGTAGTTATGCTTCGTAGCTTATTTCTTCTTCTATACTTTTATGTACAATTGTGAAACTCCGCGCACACAATCTCGTTCGCTGCCGAAATTCCTACTTACATTATGATAGCAATTTTGTTTTTTTTACCAACCTGTCACTTTGATCTTTTGTATAAGAAATACCTACTGTCACTATGACATAACGTTACGTGGTAGGTAGCTGAGTCATTGACTAGATACCCCATTCATGATGTTTAGAAAGACATCGCTCATTCTTTAATGGGGACGCTAAGATTGGTGTTTTCACTCTGATGTACAGTTTCCCTTCTCCGTCAACCTGTAGCATACAACAGACATACCTATTATCTGTTGTTACTAGACTTCTCATGCAGTCATAAGCAACCATTATTAGCATTCAGATTTCAGCTGAGACCCTTCAACTCGCGACTGTAGACGCTGATCTCTGACACAAGTGTCCCCACTGGTGCCGCAGACGGGAAGGCGATGGCTCTGACGGGCTCGCCGACCGACAAGAGTCACGCCATCGTCGCCAACTCGATCGTCATGCCGCCGACGGACGCCGTCATATTCAACGAGCCCGACTGTATCAGGTGCGGAGACAGTGCAGCGTACGACGATTTCATTGTGAGAGCAGCGGGCTCAGTACCCACACAGACAGGTTCTTTGAACGATTTACGTCTGTGCACCTTGATTTGTTTGAACTGAAGGCGGGTTGCGAGTGATGTCGTACCGCACACCTCTTACACTGCCGCTGACGGGCCTGTTGCAGCAACAAGTCTCTGGGCAGCCACAAGAACCGGCGACTGGAGGAGGGCAGCCACTACGGCAGCGGCTCCAGCATCGACTCGTTCGAGAAGCGCAACAGGGAGGACCTGGAGAGCGGTACGTGCGCGCTTTGCACATGGTTCCCACTCTCCCCTCAGCAGACCGGCCGACCGCCGCGTGGACATCGATCTATGTATATCTGGATGTGATCAGTGATGTGTGTGATCGATTGGAGAAAAAGGCACAACTGAAAAATATGTGGACTGGTTGATCACTTTATAAGTGACGATAGCGTGCACCATAGTCCTCATTTATGTGAGCATCTCAATGGGAATCAAGACAAAAGATAATCAGTTGATTGGAAATGCTGACCCGTCATTTCAAATAAACCGTGCCTTACTCTGGGTGTCCATTGTGCAGACCGGTTGACAATGTCTGACCTACTCAGGCAGTGTCTTGACCTGCGATGCGCTCTCAGGTGTGTGACCTCTGTCCTGACCCTCCGTGTGCCCTCAGGCGTGTACGGCGACGAGCTGGACGAGAACGGCCGGGTGATGGACACCACCTCTGACAACGTGCAGGCCAACGACGCGCCGGCCGACTGTTTCACCGAGGCGTTCTACGTGCGGTGTCCGTCGTGCCGCGGCAGCCCCAACTCGCCCTTCTGGCAGGGCTGGGCCACGCTGCGCCTCAAGACGTACCGGCTCATCGAGAACAAGTACTTCGAGACGGCCGTCATCGTCATGATCCTGCTCAGCAGCGGAGCGCTGGTCAGTGACATCGCAATGCTGGGACAAATTTGGTCGTGATGGAGGGTGCACGGTTGTTTGAAAACTGTATCCGGCCAGTTTGTAACGATATACCAAAGATGCAAATTAAAAATTTTGCTTCGTTAAAATAACTTTTTATTGGTCCTACAGGCGTTAGAAGACGTGCATCTGAAGGACAATCCCGTGCTACAAGACATCCTCTACTACATGGACCGCATCTTCACCGTCATCTTCTTCATCGAGATGTTGGTCAAGTGGCTGGCCTTCGGGTTCAAGAAGTACTTCACGAACGCTTGGTGCTGGCTGGACTTTCTCATTGTGATGGTAAGGAAGGCGCTGATTCGTTAGGTTTCTTAGTTTGGTTTTGAACACCGTAGTAGGTATTAAGTGCCGTCGAAGAAATAGTATGCTAAAGTGAAAGTAGATGAACGCAAGAAAAATCCTGTTGTTTTTATTTCTTCTTATCATAAGTTGCAACAGTTCTACTTCAACTAGCCTCTCAGCATCACGACTAACGTTTTGTCCCATCGGGCCATTTTTCGATGGACCACCTTAGTCCCGTGTCTCCATGGCAAATAATTTTCACCCACCGGGCCACATACCACCGACTCGCGCTTGAACCATGCACTCTCCCCTCGATGTCTGACGGTGGCTGTTGCCGCGGCCGACAGGTGTCGCTCATCAACCTGGTGGCCACACTCGCCGGACAGGCTGGCCTGCAGGCCTTCAAGACCATGCGAACGCTCCGAGCGCTCCGGCCGCTGCGAGCCATGTCTCGGATGCAGGGCATGAAGGTCAGTAAAGGTTACAGGATGCTGGTAATGTCCAAAAGGTCATGATCATTCATGTCATGAGCGGTACCGAAAGTGGGTTTGACTGTATCTGCCGCCACGCAGAGATCATTGTGGTTGACGAGGAAAGGTTTGTGTTTTATCACCGATGTCCACAAGTAAATCGCTTTGCTTGACTCGGACACCGCGTTGTTGTGAAAGACGAGAGTTGAAGAAAGCTATCGATGATGATAAAGCTGATAACAAGTGAGCATTAACCTACCTGCTCCACTCCGCGGTGACGATGCCTGCACTGTTCTTTAAGTCTGAGTGTGTCACTGCAGCTGCGGCCACTGACCCGTACCGACTGCGGCGTGTGCTCTACTTCTTACACAGGTGGTGGTAAACGCGCTCATCCAGGCGATACCCAGCATCTTCAACGTGCTGCTCGTGTGTCTCATCTTCTGGCTCATCTTCGCCATCATGGGCGTGCAGCTGTTCAGCGGCCGCTACTTCGAGGTGAGACAGTCGCGATCGGGAGTCAGCTGACTGCTGAGTGAGCTTTGAAGTCATCGGCATGTCAACTCTTGATGACGTCACTAGGCAGCCACTCAGCGCGCTAATTTGTGTGGCATTGGAATCGCTGCATTACTTATGTCTGAAACTTTGTGTGTGACATCAGGCTGGATACCTGCTCCAATGACAGTAATCTGGCCATCAGATGCAAAGAGAGGTATGTGTATCGTCACATACCTCTCACAAATAACTGATGCTTGACAGTATCGTCATTCCTCCCTATTCTCCGGCTCCAGTGTCAGGATGACGAGGGTAACCGCTACCCGATCGAGATCGTCAACAACGAGACCGACTGCGACAACAGCAAGTACCCGGACCGGCACTGGGTCAACTCCGAAATGAACTTTGACCATGTCGGCTACGCCTACCTGTCACTCTTCCAAGTGGCCACTTTCAAGGGCTGGATACAGATTATGTCGGACGCTACCGACGCCCGCGCGGTGGGTGAACGGGGCACCGGCGGTGGGGGAGGGGGAGGCTGCCCGGTGGGGGACCGGGGGTTGGAGGCTGCCACCCTGCTCCCCATTTCAACCGCGTGGCCTTCAATGATTTGGCAGCATAAAGTGATATCAGGATGGTTCTGCTTTGTGCTACATATACCGGTCATACTGCAATCAAACATTTTAATCGGCGAATCTGAGTACAGCTGACGTGATAGCTCTAAATTTCTCAAATAGCGTTGAAATATCCACGTTGCGCGTTTCTACATGAATTATATGATGTGTTCACAGCAACACGAGCAGCCGACCTACGAGAACAACGTGTACATGTACATCTACTTCGTCTTCTTCATCATCTTCGGAGCCTTCTTCACTCTCAATCTGTTCATCGGTGTCATCATTGACAACTTCAACGAGCAAAAGAAAAAGATAAGTATCAACTCCGTGTTGGAATGTAGTGTCATTGAGCATTATGATAGTATTCCTAATTTTAGCTTTTAAAATCTAAGAAATGTAATCTTCACATTCGATGCATTCATGACGATTGTACTGCACTCATCATACAGCAGGGATGTGGTACAAGAGCTGTCCTTTTAGAAGTTCCCAGTTCAGTGTGAAATTCGTGTCGTTTTGTGGCTACAGTACCGTGCTATCCATGGGGAGCTGGCGAATGTCGAGTCTCGTGATCACCCACGCCACCATAGACTGTCAGTGCCGTTGAGTGTGTGTCTGCCGAGCTGTGCGGGCTCGGCAGCTCAGCACGCGCTGCGCCGGCGACGGTGCGTGTGCTCGCAATAGCCGCACTCGCCGTCGCGCGCCGCCGGGCCGGCCGACCGGTCCCCGTGACCGGCCGGGCCCGCCCGTACGGGGTGCAGCCGGACCGCACTGGCGGCGCTAGATGTCATGTCCCACTGCCTGTATGTGTAGACGTCACCTGCGCTGTCAGGAGCACATCGTCCTGCCCCCGCCGTCCCCTCCCCGGACCCGTGGACTCAGACCAGTCCGACGGACTGGTGCTCGGTCTGTCCCGCGGACTGGGCCATACACTGAACGGAAGTTCGCTCCAGTCCTGATCCTGCCCCGCTATTTGATCATAAAAGGTGCTTATAAAAACAGGATTTGTCAGCGCTTAGGCGCAAACGAGCAATAGTTTCGCTTTAATGTTATCTCTTACCAATGGCTGTCCAACAAAGCAGCGATTTATGCTCTTCCTCCCAGTCCCCCTCCAGCCTATATGAGCATGTTGATAGCATTCCTTACAAGTGAAAGACCAAGTATATGCCGTAGACCACTACATAAATATGCAGTAGTCTGTGATTAAACAAAATACTATAAGCATTTTGTGTTACATTAGTTTTCTTTCCAGTGTATCATGAAAAGTGTTGGTTGAAAATATTAATGTGATAGCGTCTTTCAACCTAATTATTGTGTTATGGCTATTTTTAACCGTTACCTTTCCCCCGTACGGCAAGGATATTGATGAATATCGAGAATGAGTATACACACAAAATATTTGTCATGAATTTCTCAGCATGCCTTTTTTTCCTCTTACTCTTAGTGTAGCATGTTGCTGACACGTGACTAATTTTTGTCATGGTCAGGAAATATGAGCTAAAGAAGAAAATTAGCAAATGTTGACAAATGACCAATGACTTGAGTACTCCCTACGTTCAAGACGACGATAGCTTTCGACCGCTGCTGGAGCAGAACAGACCACGTTTTGGGCGGAAACGCAGATGACGCGATTGCAGCGTTTGTGACATTTTTCACCCATTCATTAGGATCATTTCTATTTTAATTTTACTGATTGTGAGACGAGTTTATAGACCAGACGTTAAACGTACCGGTGGGTCCCGGTGCTTTTTCGCCTCCCGACAGCTTCCTTTTTGTTATGGACGTTTGTGACCTTCTTTCTTTGACAGAAGACTGCTGTACTTAAGCCGCAAACATGCTGGAAGGCTCGAGTCTGAGCTGTGCCATCATTCCCACACCTCACCTTTTTTGCGGTGCGCACCTTCCCGGAAAATCGGCGTCCGGATGTTGATTCCAGTTCAGTCCCCCAAATGGCTATTTCTGTGAGTGGTGTCTAAAAATAAAAAAACTGTTTTTGTTTGATGCTTTTTACTGGCCAGTGGCCAGTATACCTACATGTTTGCGATATATGCTTAGTTTTACGATGTGAACCGTCTGTCTCACTTTTGTTTCCCTTTGAAAAGCATATTTCTATTTTATTTTTCACGTCATTTTTAGCGGAGCCTATAAAACGTCAAAATAAGCAAACCAACCTACATATTTGTAGTGACTACCACACTTTCATTTTAAGACATACCTACAAGAAAATAAGCAGCCACTGTTAAAATCCCGGATAAGCTCTAACTTGGCATTTGATGACAAACCACTTATGAACCTCAATAGGAACAGGGAAATTACGGACAAGGTACCACCGTAACGTCTCCGCGGCTGTTACAGAGCTGACAGGTTTCGGTCCGGTGGGCGCTATGTCCGCTGAGATTCACCCGCCCCTGCGTATCGGTCCCGCCCCGTCAGCCCCTCTCATCTCAAACGGCACTCTGTGGCATGCTGGTAGTGTTGCTATTGTTTCGGTCACGCTGGGGGCTCGGTCTCACTGCGCGCGTCGTGCCGCACCTGACGGCCTGCCGTGTGTTCTGCTGGCGTGCGCGTGTTTTCACAGTCACACCACTACTCTTGCACCTCCGCCGTCAACAGTGTCATCCCCGTCCCTCACTACCGATAGTTCTCCCCTCACCATCAGTCACCGTCGGCCATTCCGTCCTTCAGTCTGTCCTGGGCCGCATCAGATCACTGTCATCCGTCCCAGCCCACTACAATTTTTGCCCGGATGTCAGTCATTTCTCTTGGTCTGTTCGAAGGAAATCCAAGTGGCCTGAATGTATCAATCCTCAGAAATAATTCACCTGAGCAACTCTGCGATTGGTCTCCAAACATAAAAATGTGTTTTGAATTCCTGCTTCTCTCGTTAAAATTATCGTAAGCACGTACCTTCATAAAAGCCTCTCAGCCTCATCATCGACCCATTTTCAGTGGTTCCTTTTACCGGTCCTGAACATGGCCCCCGATGTCATGACCAGTTCCTGACGCCGAATCCTCACGAGCATGGTGAGCATGAGTTCCGATTTTCGTGTGTCGGATCACCTTACGATCCAGTTGGAGGCAGCTAGTTTCCGATCCGATCGCAGTTAGATGGCGTCCATGGTTGTCGCCTTTCGGAAGTGTCATGCTCACCACGGGCTTACACGATTAACATTTGGCGCATGCTTTTTGTGCGTAGTAGCCTCAACTCATCAGTGTTCCTAGCTAGAGTATATCACACTGGCTCGGTTATCATTTTAATCACAGCCATTTGTTCGTGCATGCATACGTGATGGATGGAAATGATAACCTGTTTTCTTGTTATTCACGCAGGAGGTTCTCTAGAAATGTTTATGACTGAAGACCAAAAGAAATACTACAATGCGATGAAAAAGATGGGCAGTAAGAAGCCTTTAAAGGCCATTCCGAAGCCTCAGGTAGAGTAGCGTGAGCCGAGCAGTTGCTCTGCTGGCTATCAGTGCTGCTAGGGCGAGGCGGGGCCGGCGCGGCGGCGGCGCCGGCGACCTCAGCCGCCGCTCCGCCGCCACCGCCGGCCGCGCCTCCCCTCAGCCGGGTGTGTGTATGTCTGTGTGTGTGTGTGTCTGTGAGGTCGTCTGTCGGTGTCTGTGTCGCCCGCCAGTGTACAGGAACTATATGCTGTTCACGCAGGCGGCTCCCTTGATATGTTCATGACGGAGGACCAAAAGAAATACTATAGCGCCATGAAGAAAATGGGCTCAAAGAAACCGTTGAAAGCGATCCCGCGTCCGAAGGTAACCGCGGAGGCAGCGACTGGCACATTACATACTTCTGCATCGTGAAAGTCGCCGCCCCTGCTAGGCACCAGCGGTATTTGATGGGCTGGCCGCGGCACTGGCTCTGTCGTCTCCTCTCTCTCTCTCTCTCTCTCTCTCTCTCTCTCTCTCTCTCTCTCTCTCTCTCTCTCTCTCTCTCTCTCTCTCTCTCTCTCTCTCTCTCTCTCTCTCTCTCTCTCTCTCTCTCTCTCTCTCTCTCTCTCTCTCTCTCTCTCTCCCTCTCTCTCTCTCTCTCTCTCTCTCTCTCTTTCTCTCTTTCTGTCTTCCTTTTTGTATATATCTATCTATTCCTCTTGATTCTTCTTTTTCCCTTTTCATCACTCCTTCCCATTTCTCCCTTTGTAGTTTTTATCGTTTCCTGGTACTATCGCTTCATCGTTCTTGCATCTTTTACCTTACACTTTTGCATATAGAAATCCTCTCGCTGTCTTTTGTCTCATATTCTTGTCTTTTTTCTTGCTCACTTTATATAATTTGTTGTTCATTCTTCGAAGAAATTGTAATGTAAATGTCACTGGATAACAGGGAACTCATTTTCCCGCTCTATATTCTTTCATTTCATTTCGTTTCCCCCAGCGGAACATCTAACCACCAAAGTGAAGATCTGCACCGCTATAGAGCTGGTGAAACGCACGGTATCGAGGCAGGCGCATTCAGTTCCCCTATTTATAACTCCTGTGCTGGTCTGACATCATCCATCCTGGCACCGCTCGGTTCACACGGCCACATGTCGTCAGCACTGGCATCCTTTCTATACTGGTCCCATCTTACCCTGAGCATTGTCATGTCCCACCTAATTCACTTTTCCTTTTATCCAGCCCACATCCTTTCCGCATCGATGATCGCCCAGCTCTCCTCGTATGCCCGTCCTTGTCACCTACCAACATTTATTATTACCTGTACCTATACTTCATACATCGGTCCTCATTTGTCCTCGTCTTTCACGAGCGCCTGTTCCACTCTGAGTATTGCAACTCCCGTCTACCTGCCTTCCTCTGCCATCCCTGTCCCAGACCCTCCCATCACTGGACCCCATCCTCGACCACGGCCCCATCCCCGTCCCGTCCTGTCCCAGCCCCTCCCTATCCCAGCCCTTTTCTGTCCCAGTCCCTCCATTCTACAATCACTGGACCCCATCCTCGACCATCGCCCTGTCCCCCCGTCCTGTCCAAGCGTCTCCCATCACTGGACCCCATTTCCCCACCTCGTCCTGTCCTGCAGTGCCGGGCCGGCCGCGCCTCTGTCTCGACTCTCTCAGTTCTCGGTACTCGTATTTAGGTGTGTGTCGGTAGTATCAGAGCGCTCGGACTCTGGTCGGCGCGGCCCTCGCTGCGGCCCCAGGCCACCGATCCACTGCATGGTAGCTGTGTTCGCTAGTTTGGCATCATTTCGGCGGCTGGCCGCCCTCCTCAGCCGGCGTCGGGAGCGGGCGCGCCGCTCTGGCGCTGCCCCGCTGCCCCGTGGAGACGTCGACCAGTCCTCTCAGACGACAGGGGCTCTCACACCGCACACGGAGGGATGGGCAGGCAGGCGCGGATCCCGGGGAAGTGAAAGGGAGCATATGGTTCTTGGTTATTTTGATATTATCTCTCGAGTGAGAAACTGTCAGTCCCCTATCCCTAAAAGGAGCAAGTCAGGTGTTTTCTTTTTAAAGAAAGGTATTGCTGCTTTTCTGATGCATGCGTAAATAAATGAACAATAGGGATAATGAGCCTATACCTGACAACTATTTCCCCTCAAGCTCATAAAGTATTGCTGGTAGGCTCATAGAGAACCATTTATCCCATTAACCCTATTAGTGGCAGGGGGGCTTGTTTTCATCCACCCCTCAGGTTTTTCGGAAATATCTCCGAAACCGCTTAAGCTACGATGCTGAAATTTTCTGACTTTTCTTACAACTTAATTGGGCACATTCCCTGAAAATTTCAAGTTCATAACTTCACCAGGGGCGGCTCCAGAGCACTGGGAATTGGGGGGTCCTATTCGTGAAGCGAGTCATTTGGGCGAAGATCACGATGCTGATGTATTATAACTGTATGCACCAGTTTTACGAACAGTGAATGAAAGGTATCAAGTGATAACATATACAAAGTTATTGTGCATCCTCTTTTGACACGTTTTTGCTATAATAGGCGGATCCAGGCGTCCAAAAAGGGGGGTTATGTTTTACCTCCCAACATAGGTGCCCTGACACCACCTATGCATGACCAATACAATTGTAGTCGTTCTCTCATAAGAAAATTGTAACATAACAAGACCATTACCACCCTTTTTAGAAACAGTACCAACAAAAACCTTATTTACTATACTTTTTGTGTACCCCCAATCTCAATGATCTGTATCCGCCTATGATTTTTGAAAATGCATATTTTTAGGATCCATGTGAATTCCTGGTTCATTCTCTATCGATCGGCAAAAGTTGCGTTAAAGGGACTATCGCACCTTCTAAAATGTTGTTAAAACCAGTTAAATTGTGCCCGACTTTATAGATTGGATGACCAGGAACACGGTTCTGGCATTTATTTTTCATTAAACATCTTAGGCTTCCCATATTCCAAACACAAACTTTCAAATATGTGACGTCACAGCCCAAAATTACCTCCTTCCCCAGGCCACATTACTGTCATAAAGCTGATTCTTTTTACTCTGTAGGCACCACAACAAAGTTCAGACCAAGTTTTAAGCGATTTTTCAACGAACAAACCCATTTAAATCAGAATGACTAAACGAGGTGACGTCACACTAACGGTCGCTCCATGTTGAAGATAGGGCCTTGTACATACAAGGCCCATTTTCAAATGAAGGGAACGAATTTCTTCAACACCAAGAGGCCGCGGGGGTTGCAACCTAGATAGATAGTGGTTTCTGAACCTCGCCGCAAACTTGGCTATCTCAACTCAAACCCCATGTTAAAGGTGGGATAGTCCCTTTAAGATTGGTTCAGAAACCTGGCCGTGATAAACAGTATCTGTTTTCTGTATCTGTAATCTGTATCTGTAATCTGTAAAATGTATCTGCAATTTGCCCGTTTTTACCCCCCTCTACCCCCCTATTGACATTTTTTTTAATTTTTATTTTTTTTTATAAATGTAGATCACGTTGAGCGAAATCGAATGCCGTTTGAATTTTGAAAATCGGCCCGTTAGATCTCGAGATATCGGGGGGGGGGGGTCGTAAACAGCCCCCCCTGCCACTAATAGGGGTAGCCAGGAGCCTGCCACTAATAGGGTTAACTTTCCTCGGCAATAGGTATCGATTTATGTATGCTGAGGTTTGGAAATTAATTTCGCATAAGGGAAATCGCAGAAGCTTCGTGGGCTCAAAGACGTTAATGCTCGAGCTTAATTGGCGGTACTTAATTGATAATTGAAAGACTTATCTCGGAATCCACACATGCCATACGAGTAATATTCAGTAATGAAATTTATGGTAGTTAGTAACGAGCCTTACCAGGCCATCATAGAACGCCGCCCAAGAAGGTGATATGAAGCAACTACCAATGCATTACGCAAAATACGATGTTTTTTTCATTTTGGTCTCACAAGTATTTGGTGAAGAGGAATATTGCATAATAAAACTAAGCTCACCTCTAACAACGAATACCTTAATAACATATTTTTCCAAACGTTATCAGTTGCTCCCTCATGGCGCTATGCATATGCTGTCCAGAGTGTGGTGCCAGAAAACAAAAAAAAACTGTCCCGTATTTTATTGCGGTCAGTGCTCGGGCGATAGCGCCAAGTCAAACCGGGACTGCAATGGCTTCAGTCGGGAGGTACCATGGGAAGGGTGGGGGGAGGCTTATCTAATTCCCTTCGTTGAAGGCCTGCTCGATTTTTATGTACACGTAGTTCCAGTGTTTTGGACCCTTTACACCGTATACTTACATTATTCTCCAGTACGCTAATGTTTGCGAAGATCCTGATCAACGAATCTCATTTGACGAGGGCTGACATTCAGCCTTATAAGAGTACCGTAACTTTGGTGGCCATTTTGTCACTTTGCCGGGCCGACCGTGGCTCATTCGTTGATCGGATCGCGCACCCTACCCTGTAGTCACTCGGTTACATTTGTCTCGGAGAGAGTAGCAGTGCATGCCAGCTGTTCATCGGTCACCCTCCCGCAGTCGGTATCTGTAGAGTCCAGGGTGTTCGGTCACGGTGTGTCTCCCCTGTATGAGTGTGCGCGCGTTCATGTTAGCCGTTTTCACGACGGCCATCTGGCACACATTCAGTGCAGATTAGGTGCAGATTTGGTGCAGATTTGGTCAAATTAGGCTCACTGTTCTTAAAAGTTGTTAGTTTAGGCTGCACAGATGCTTATAGTTAGACCACATTTTTCAAATTACGAAACATTTTTTTTTTCAATTAAAACCGTGATAAAAATTCATGATATGAAGATGTTTGTAGTGAAAGAGATTTGGTGCTGATTTAGTCAAATTATGTGCATAGCCAGATAGCCCGTCGTGAAAACGGCTATTGACAATCATGATGACTTTAATTTGTCATGTTTTGTAAAATCCTTGCCGTCTGTATGTAATCATTATGCATTAAAGGCAATAATTGCTTTTGTATTCATTGTTGCTTTTGTTTAATGGTAAAGATAAAATTTGTAATAATATGATATAAATAGTTATTGCTTGGCTTAGTTCGTCAAATATGTGATTAGGCATAATTTGATTAGTAATGTGCGCATGTCGATGATTCGCTGCCCTACAACAATAACACCCATTGCACCGCAATTCGCTACCTAACTGAATAGCCACAGATCACACAGACCTATTTTTAGCATAATCTGCGACACGCTGGTGTAAGGTACATAATGGGTGTCCCTAAGCTTCACTCTTTTTACCTTTTCTCCAAAATCGGTAGCACTGTTTTCTGAATTTGCATCCCAACCTAGCCTGATACAAACGACAGTGATGTAGAAAATTGCACTTGTAGTTCGTTGGTACTAATATTGTGCTCATGACATAATCAGATATCATCATGCCAAGTCAAACGCCTAAAATTACCAAAAACAAAAATATGACTAACTTGTAAATTCTATAGAACGCAGACTACTTTACGTTCGCAAACTAACGAATTGGCCTTTGTCTCACTCACTCTGCAGTCTGCAGTAGGTACCCCTCTCCTGCAAAGCAAGTGACATTACCCTGGCAGCTTGAGGGGGTAAAACATACTCACTCTTGGAACTTGATTTTGTTTTCATTTTAATTGCCTTATGAAAACACTAGATAACACAACATAGAAGTTCTACCCCACAATTCACAATCACCCTCACAAACACCATTACACGTGCCCCCTGAACAGTGAACACTGCAACGGATACGTCACACGGTGCTCCCCATCTCCCGCCCCGACCTGCCCGCGCACTGTGTCTGCCGGCACACCGCTGATCTGCGCCGCCACCGTTTTCAGTTCAAGCCGCAGGCCATACTCTACGACATCTGCTCCAACCGCAAGTTCGACATGGCCATCATGGGCTTCATCGGGCTGAACATGGCCACCATGATGTTGGACGAGTACAACATGTCGCCGCAGCGGGAGCTCATCCTGGACTACGTCAACCAGGTCTTCATCGTCATCTTCACGGCCGAGTGTGTGGTCAAGGTGCTGGCCTTCCGCTGGCACTACTTCAAGGAGCCGTGGAACCTGTTCGACTTCATCGTCGTCACGCTCTCCATCTTAGGTGAGTCGTAGGTAGTCGTAACTACGCTCTCCATCCTAGGCGGCGTGGTGGAGGTGCGGTCAGGTGACTTCCAGCAATCCGTACACAGCTAGACGTTTTATGAAGCAAATGTCGATATATCCTCTACATGAAACACTCCATTAGCGTAAATAAAGCAGTGCTTGTTTATCGATCATTTTATGCCTATAACGTTTCCTTATAGCGTTTAATTCCATTGATTGCTTGGCTGTAACGTTTCCTGAGCAAAGTCCATTGACGATGCATCGAAATCACGGCTAAAGATGAGACTAATATAAACGTATCGCAGTCCTTTGGTAACTGTTTACTCCTTCCTTGCAGGTATCGTCTTGAAGGACATTTTCACAAAGCTGTTTAACGTGTCGCCGACACTGCTTCGAGTGGTGAGGGTGGCCAAAGTGACGCGAGTGCTGCGACTGATTAAGAGCGCCAAGGGTATCCGGACTCTGCTGTTCGCCTTCGCCATGTCGGCGCCAGCGCTGTTCAACATCATCCTGCTCCTCTTCTTGGTGATATTCATCTTCGCCATCTTTGGCATGAGTTTCTTCATGAACGTCAAAGTGCCGATGGGCGGCCTGGACGACACGTTTAACTTCCAGACGTTCGCCAAGTCGTTCATCCTCCTGTTCCAAATGATGACGTCCGCCGGCTGGGCAGAGGTGCTCAGCGGCATCATCAACGTCAAAGACTGTCAGGAGCCAGACGAGGACACAGGCAACCCAGGCGACTGCGGCAGCCCCACAATTGGCATCGCCTACCTGCTCGCGTACCTCGTCATCTCTTTCCTCATCGTGATCAACATGTACATTGCTGTGATCCTCGAGAACTACTCGCAGGCCAGCGAGGACGTGCAGGAGGGCCTCACCGGCGACGACTACGACATGTACTACGAGATCTGGCAGCGGTTCGATCCCAAGGGCACCCAGTACATCGCCTACAACCAGCTCTCCGACTTCCTGGACGCCCTGGAGCAGCCGCTGCAGATCCACAAGCCCAACAAGTACAAAATCATCACGATGGACATACCCATCTGTCAGGGTGACAAGGTGTACTGTGTCGACATCCTGGACGCGCTCACCAAGGACTTTTTCGCTCGCAAGGGCAACCCTGTGACGGAGACGGCCGAGTTGGGTGAGGTGACCGCTCAGACCGACCGGCCCGGCTACAAGCCCATCTCGTCCACGCTGTGGCGCAAGCGGGAGGAGTTTTGCGCCTCGCTGATCCAGAAGGCCTGGCGGAAGCACCGCGGCCGTGCCGAGCCGTCCCAGCACCAGCAGACGGCAGTGCTGGTGGACGTTTCCAAGAACGGCCACAAAGTGGTGTTGCACTCGCGGTCGCCCAGCGTGACGTCACGCTCGACGGACGTGTGACGCAGCTCGCCCGGGCGCGCCGCACCGCAGCACAGCCGCTTCACGTAGCAGCGGGCACCCGACATATAAAATGTATAATGCCGTATTTTTATATTGATTCAGCGATTGCTGTCAGGCTTTCGCCGCGCGCATATACGCGAGTATTTATAGAGGCTCAAGCTTATGGTTGTTGGGAAAAGGTGATTGGTTGTTTGGTTCGTTTCCGTGCGCTCGTGCCGCTCCCCTGCCGGCGGCGCCGGCTGGCCGTGCGGCTCGTGCTCGCGCGCCACACGTCTCGTTTCTACTCTCACCTTCATGCCTTGAGGGTGCGGCTCGGCCTTCCCCCTGGCGGCGGGCTGGGCGGCCCCAGTCCTTCCCCGACGGGCGCCCAGGCCGCCGCCAGTGCCGCGCCGGCCTACCAGTATTAGGGCGGCTGGCCGCCGGCGCGCTCTGCTTGGCTCGCCGCAGCGCCGCATAGTTACGTAAGTCGGCGGAAAACGATACGCTCTGAGCCGGTGTGCGATACTGAGCTCTCTCTCTATCACTATCGCCCTTTCTATCTCGTTCTATCTATTCTGTCTCAGCCTCTTCGTCTGTCTGTCCCGCCGCCTCACTCAGTCCACTGAACACCCGTCCCACTAGTGTGCACACTCTCACTTATATTAATGTGCACTATGCAATAACGACACTGAGGGTGGGCTTCGGACACCACCATACGCACATCTACACCGACACATACACAAAAACATCAAATACTGGCAGGAATAGTGAATACTCGTACAGCCACGATCACAGATACACTGACAGCCAAGTGAACTCACACAAACAGACTCGCAACATTGCGCCAACACACATACATTACATACACGCGCACACCAAACACGCAGCCGCGCGCACGTGCCAGCACTCTTGTGAGGGCGGCAGGGATAGCTGTTCACCTGTTGCCTCGTGCCACGGTTGCACGTGGCACGTGCCCGTGCATCACACGTCCGAGCAGGGTGTGCACTGTGCGTCTGGTGTGTGTGGTTGGCTTCTGACCGGCGCGGCGCCCGGGTTTCGTGTGTCCCGCTCTGTGCGGTGGCGCCCCTGCGCCGCTCTCTCGCCCCCTCTGTCTATCGAGTGCGGCCTCTCTCATCCCTGTGTGAAGCAATAACGCCCGAGTCCGGCCGCCCCCGCCCCCGCCCCGCCCCGTCCCTTCCGCTTCTGACCCGGAGTCGGCGTGCCGACCGGCGGCCACTTCCCCATTGCCGGAGATCAGACAGTCATCAGCTCGCCTCAACATATTAGTCTTGGTGATTTTTAAATGTTTACATAAGTTGTTATTGTTGAGTCCAATCAGCATCGTCAAAAGTAATGAATGGCCAGTTTTATTTGGTATTGCATGAGAAATGTTTGCAAGAAAAATTCGGCAGAATGTTACGAGATATTGTACTTTTCTTTCGGTGAACTTGTTTCAATAGAAATGCAGTGTCAGCAATTCGCGCGTCTGACCACCGTTTGACCTCTGGCCACCGCTGCCGTCGGCACGCCGCCCACAGATCTGCGCCTCTCCTCCCTCGCTCCTCCCTCTTCCTCTGAACGACAGCCGGGCCCCGCCCTCTGCCTCCCTCCTCCTTCCTCAGCCTCCCCTCCTCCGTCCTCTGCCTCCCCTCCTCCGTCCTCTGCCTCCCCTCCTCCGTCCTCTGCCCCCTCTGCCCCGCCGGATCGCTCTCGGACAAAGGAATCCATAACGGCTACTAGATGTTTGCACGGCTTTCCATTATATACGGGCGCGGGCGCGGCGGCCGTGCGTCTCAAGAATAACATGGCTTTACATGTTTTACAAAGCCGCTTTCACCCGGCCTGCGTCCCGCTATCTAAAGCCTCCGCTGTGCATGCACATTGTCAACAGTTACCTATTCGTTCCATTGTATCTTGTGCGGATAAGGATCAAACTTACTGTGATTTGTAGATGATATTACCCTGTTACCGTTACTCATTTCCTCCATGTGTTTCTCGTTTTCATGGGCACCGTATCTATGCTGACGTTTTTGTTTGGCTGGAGTTGTTTGGGCGCGTCCCAGCATCCACTCAGAGACGCTTGTTGGCGCTGGAGAGTCGGTTTATTGCTCCCGCTTCACGTACGACGTGCACCGTGTCGCAGTTGCCTTCAAATCGATATATTGTTACCGTAGGTCGCACGTGGCGACTGACTCAGTTTGCGTGTGTGCTTGTCCATCGTTCTCCAGCGCACTGGTTAGGCAGTTGTCTGCTCCGCCTGGTGGGTGGGGTGGCGGCTGGGCCCCGGCGGGGGCGGCGCGGCGGGCCCGGCCCCCACGCCGTCCCCGCCGGCCAGCCGACTCCCCACCCCCGCTGATCTCTATCTCTAAAGCGATACAAAGTGCGCTGGCATTCGTTTTAAGCCGTCATATGTTCTGCATTTCTATCCGTCCCTGGATATATTGTAAGATATACAGTGGCGGCGCGCCCGTGTCGGGGTAGGCCCCTGGCTGGCCGGCCGGCGGCGGGGCCTCGCACGGACCGGGGCCCGCGCGCCGGGCTCTCCCGGCCGGCGGGCCCGCGCGGGGCCCCGCCGGCTCCCCGGCCGCTAGCACACGGCTCGCCGAGCCGCCGAGATCCATTCACCGGGCCCTCGCCTCCTCGAAACGTGCCCAGGAGCCGCTCCTGTTGCACTTTGTATGGAATGACATGTACATAACTAGTCATCGAATAAAGTTTTGATAATTTACCACGTACAGAAAAGAGCGTGTGTTTGGACGCAGATTGAAATCGACAGACACTTTCAGAATCGACTACCGCCACTTCTTTTTTAGTAAACAACTAGTCCATTAGATAAGGACTACGCATAAAGTAGGACATTTTTCATTCCAGGCATAGATCGTGATGCTTTATAAGCTTGGGCTCAGAAATAGGTACAAAACATTTGGGTATAGGCATAGACCACTATATATCTAGATATATAGTGGTCTATGGTATAGGACATAGGTTGACCATTGCAAACGAATTTGATTTTTTAAGTGTTTCACTGGTAAACGAATAACTAAACCAGTGAACCAGTAGACAACAAAACCAGTGGCAACTGAGCCGTCGCATAACGCGTCAATCGAACCTAAAACGGTCAAGTTGACGTAAAAAGGTCAACTTAAAAATTTGACCTATATAGGTCAAGCTAGGTAATGACTTGACCGCAAAAGGTAGTGTAAATATCGGTCGGTCCGTCGTCGAGCTCAACTCGTCTATAAGGTGTTTTCAGCGCTACATAAGCCCGGTTCCGACTACGGTCACTTCAGGCCCAATCAGGCCAGATCAGGCCCAATAATTCCCAAAAAGGCTGGAAAAGGCTTACGGCCTGACGGCATGCTAGTGCGAACCGGAGCAACTGATCCGGCCTGAACTGGCCTGATCAGACCTTCAGGCCAGATCAGGCCGAAGTTAACTTCAAGTCAACTTTTTGCGCCTGATCCGGCCTGATCTGGCCTGACGCTGCGCCCGCCATTTTGAATTTGCATTGGCGCATTTGCGACGTGACAATGCGTGGTATTCGAAATCGTGCCCTTTTTGACACTGCAAAATAAAAGTGCCTATTTATATAAATGCACATAAAAAAACAGACCCAGTATGAATTAGGCACGAGACGTTGCGCATGGTTCTTTTTTATTTGATTTTTATTGTGGCCTAATTTGTGTCATTTCGGGCTTTGAAGGATGAATAACTCCCATGGTTGCTACTGATTGCTGTTTTGTTTAAATTAATTATGAACATTTGTTTCGACAAGTCCAACATTATTTCAACCAAATTAGCGTTTCTTTTAAAATTGATTCCAAAAAATAATGTGCTACTCATCAATATCGTAGCAAGATAACCATTCAAGCTTACGAGAAATAAATCGGGCTATGGTGGAAGATCCAGGTTCAAGACAGCCTTTACAGCCGCCTGACCTGTCGCGCATAAGAAATCCAGCTCGTCCACCTTCCCCGTCTGAGCTCCCGGGCCGGGAGGCCTAGCTTAGAACAGTAACGGATGGCTGCGCCCGATATGAGCCGCTCCAGCAAACACCAGGGAGGGATGAAAGTAAACTTTTGGAAAGTTTGCTCGAGAAGGACACTCGCTCTCGATCGCCCTCGATGCCACGAACCTCTGCCGAGCTGTTGCGGTGTCTTCTGCGGCAACTAAACTCATCGTCGCCGGCACCGAACAGGCTCCCGCTACCTCTCCTAGATCCCGTGACTCTCTGTCATGACTCGGACTGAATGGAACCAATCGCTACTCCATTCGCCCCCCTGGACCCCACGGCACAAAAGGACCTTTCCTATATCGAATGGCAGCTTGGCCGGGGAGATTCATTTCCAGACCAAAGAAATTTGACGGGAAGACAAGAAACTAAACTCTTAAGTCGACATGTTCCATGTGCAAGATAAATTTGTGGCGGGAAACCACAGCGGGTACCTATGAGCAAAAAAGCAAACCTTGTTTAGGTCAAGCTAATCGAGACCCTACATGATGACATGAAAAGTGTCATAAACAACGGGCTCTTATTTCTCGGAGTTGAGTTGCGTCAATGCTTATATCTTTGTTAGTGTGGTAATTGTCTGCAAAGCACATAAGAACCTACAACATAAGAACATGCATGTCTTTTCTGTTTTCTTTTAGCCACTTCTTAGATTTTCGATAAAAATCATGTTTTTATTACTTAAAACCACATTAAAACATGTTACGCAGTATGATTAAGATTATCGGTTTCAGGTTTTCATTATATAGAGCGATTATACCAGTAAAACGTCTTTGGAGCTGACAAACGGGCGAGCACGAGAGTTGAGCTCATCAAACGAGGAAGTGCGAAACAATACCTATTCCAACTGACTTGTGCGGGACACGCTTCTAACCAGTCCGTAACAGTGTACTTTAAATTTGAGCGCAATCGGACCACCCGTTCTCGAGATGTAGAAGCAGCAGTCTGCACGTGCGCACGTGCATACTGGACCCCAACTGACTTGTGTGGGACACCCTTCTAGTCGATCTCTAACGGTGTACCAAATTTGAGAGCAATCGGCCCAGCCGTTCTTGAGATGTGGAAGCGGTCCCTGCACGACGCACGTGCGCACGTGCAGTAGGACCCCAAATGTGAAACGTTGAAATGCATTGTCCGGTGGACGCCTACCGACATATGAAGCTCCAGCGCAATCGGCCCAGCATTTACCTAGTTGTTGTAATGAGAGCGAATTTGACACCTCTTCATTTTGCACGTGGCACGTGCAGGGGAAGGGGCAACAAACATGCATCGAGAGTACATAGTCTGGTATGGGAAGAAGATACCAAAAAAGACTATGGGTCGATCGCCACAGATTTGGCTGAGATATGAGCCTATCAAAATCATTACTTTGACCGAGCGAAACAACTATGAAACCCTTGACTTCACACGTGCCACGACAGTCACCTCGATGCATCATGAGTAGTCAATTTCGAGCTGGAAGGGATGGGGATGAGGCTATACCTAACAAAAAAAGACCATAGGTCAATCGGCCCAGCGGCTGCTGAGATAAAAGCCTCGCATAAGCGTTACGAGCTGCGCCAAACCGCGCCGGGCTGCTCATGCTCAGACTTGTAAGCTATTTAGAAAATCGCAATTCGCTCTCGCTGGTAAAAAAAAAAAAAACACGCACACATTTAAAAGATATTTGGTGAGGCAGACCAACGGTCTGACGCCTGTCGCCTGACGTCTGGCGTCTGGCGTCCCATACGGTCTGATCAGGCCGAGCGTCCGACGTTCAACTT